GCCCGACGGACCTCGCGGCGGGGTAGGAGCGCGCGCGTTAGCTTACCGGAGGACCCTGGCAGCCATTGACCCCGCGGTGACAACGCGGACCCCGCGCGAATGTGTCAGCACCCTGTGATGTCATTTTCCTCCCCGTCATCTCTTACGGCGTCATCCTCCTCCTCCCGTGACGTCATACTCCTCGACGTTATCCCCTCCCCTCCCGTGACGTCATACCCCTCACACTCTGTGACGTCATCCCCTGGCATCACCACAGTGTTCCTAAACGTATTATAATTTAAACTCCCCGCGTTCTTAAACACATTATAATTTATGTTTGTAAACCTGGTTCATAAATCAAGTGCTTACGGAAAAAAGAACAAACTTGGCCTAGAACTCTCCTATCTATACTACTCTTGCACTTCCGCTGTTGGTTGCCATGCCGAGTGCATTTAGGTATTTCGCGCGCTATGATCTTAGATCGACGCTTTGTCGCGCGTGGTTTAAAGAATGTGCAGACTTGTATTTCCGGTGCTGGTTGCTATGCCGGTTGAAATGAAATAATTAATAAAATAAGTGATAGCCATTCGGGCTATAACATGAGATTCTTCCTCTCCGGCTCACCGACGAAAAGAAAGAGAGGCATGTCAACATGCTGTATCTGCAAGACAATGATGGTGACAATGATGGTCATTTTACATGGATTAAAAATCTGCCCCGACTCGTGAGGTCACAAGTCACCAAAAACAAGAATAAAATATTTTTCTGCGACCGGTAAGTACACAATAAGTAAAAATAAAATATTTAAAAAAAAAATTATACTAATAAATTGTTATGTTATATTTTTGCAGATGTTTACATTATTTTTCCTCCAATGAAAAATTGGAGAGCCACGCAGTAAACTGTCAAAAACTGAACAAGTGCGCTATCCGCCTGCCATGCGAGGACAAGAAGTGGTTGGAGTTCCGCAACCACAGTATGAAGGAGCGGACACCTTTCATCGTCTACGCTGATCTCGAGTGCGTCTTGCGAAAGACGGAAGACACCGCAGCATCGTCGTCGTACGCGTACCAACGGCACGAGGTATTTAGTATAGCGTACTACGTACACTGCTCGTACGACGATACATTATCGACATATCGGTTTCATCGCGATAACGACTGCGTCAGCTGGTTCGCGCGCCAGCTCGAGGACTTGGCGCACTGCGCGTAAAATATAATAACGACCAACCAACCTATGGATTTCACGCGAGACGACTGGCAGAAATTCAACAGTGCTACGCACTGTCATATCTGCGAGAAACCGTTTGCACCGGGCGACGAGCGAGCACGCGATCACTGTCACCTCACCGGGCGATACCGCGGTCCAGCGCATAAGGGCTACAATAAATTATAAGGACTCTCTTTACATACCGGTTGTATTTCACAACTTATCGGGGTACGACGCGCACTTTGTAATTAAAGAAATAGCGACAAAATTCAAGGGGCAAGTAGATTTACTTCCTCTAACTAAAGAAAAATATATTTCGTTTACAAAGCATGTTAAAGACACTAGCGATAAAGATTCGCGAAATTGTGTTAAATTAAAATTTATAGACTCGTAGAAATTTTTGAGTGTGAGTCTCGACAAATTAGCGTCGTATCTCGATAAGGATAAATTGAAAATTGTGAGATCCGATTTCTCACATATATCGGACGAAGATTTCAATCTACTTACTCGTAAAGGAGTATTTCCGTACGAGTACATAGATTGTGTCGAAAAACTGGATGAGTCGTGTTTGCCGCTGCGCGAATCTTTTCACAGCTCGCTGACGGGCGATACCGTGTCCGAGAGTGATTACGCGCACGCCGCGAACGTATGGCAGCGGTTCTCCGTGCGAACGCTCGGTGCGTACAGCGATCTGTATCTGAAAACCGACGTCTTGTTATTGGCTGACGTTTTTGAGAATTTTCGCGAAAGTTGCATCACGAGTTACGGTCTCGATCCTGCGCATTACTACACTTTACCCGGTTTCACGTGGGATGCCATGCTGAAACACACTCATGTAAAATTCGAGCTGCTCACCGATATAGATATGGTGATGTTTATCGAGCGCGGTATACGCGGTGGCCTTAGCCAATGTTCCGACAGATACGCAAAGGCTAATAACAAGTACATGCGTTCGTACGACTCGTCGAAACCATCGTCGTACCTGATGTATTACGATGTCAATAATCTGTACGGATGGGCGATGTGTCAACCGCTGCCCTACGCGGATTTCCAATGGGTCCAAGGCGTCGCGAACTTTGACGCGAACGCGATCGCTCCGGATTCGCCCACCGGTTACATTCTCGAGGTCGATCTCGAGTGTCCACAACATCTTCACGATGTGCACATTGATCTACCGTTTTGTCCGACGCGTGATAAGCCTCCCGGCAAACGCGAGGATAAACTGCTCGCGACTCTGTACGATAAACAGCGTTACGTTATCCACTACCGCAATCTGCAGCAATGTATACATCACGGCCTTCCCGTAACGAAGATCCATCGCGTGTTACAATTCGCTCAATCCGCCTGGCTCCGTAATTATATCGAATTGAACACAAAATTTAGAACTTTGGCTAAGAATGATTTCGAGAAAAATTTGTACAAACTTATGAATAACGCGGTATTCGGTAAAACGATGGAGAACGTACGCGATCGCGTCGACGTGAAATTAGTAACTGCATGGAACGGACGGTACGGCGCGGAGGCAATGATCGCAAAACCGAATTACCATAGCCGCAGCGTCTTTGCGGAAAACTTAATCGCCGTCGAATTGTGCAAACTCAAGGTGAAATTCAACAAGCCGATATACGTAGGTATGTGCATACTCGACATATCTAAAGTCTGCTTGTACGAATTTCATCATGAGTACATGGTACATATGTTTAATAAAAATTGTAAAATTATGTACACCGACACAGGTAGTCTCATTTATCGCATCGAATGCGACGACGTATATGCGGCGATGAAACGCGATATCGCTCGATTCGATACGAGCGTCTATCCTGCGAACAACGCGTACGGTATACCTCTCGCGAATAAGAAGGTGCCCGGCCTTATGAAGGACGAGAACAACGGCGCGATAATGACCGGGTTCGTTGGACTCAGGGCGAAGATGTACGCGTTGCGCGTAGACGGGAAGAAAGACACGAAGAAGGCAAAAAGTGTAAAGAGCAGCGTCGTAGCGCAAACTATAATGTTCGACGATTACACCCGATGCTTGAACGAGGAGATTGAAATGACGCGCAGGCAGTCGTGTATAAGGTCGAAGTTACACAAAGTGTACACGGTGTCGGAGAAGAAAATCGCTCTGAGTCCGTACGACGACAAACGGTACGTCGTACCGGATTCAATGGAGACGTTACCGTAGGGACATTATCGGATACCATTATAATATAGTATAGTTTGCGATTTTTATATATGTATTTTTAGACTTTAATTTTTATATGTATTCCTTTATACTTTAATTTTATATGTATTCTTAGATTTAGCATTTTTATATGTTTCTTTTTTATTTTTTACATTTTATTTTTATATACAGTTTATATATATATTTTATATTTTTTTAAACATTAACGTACTTTTTTAGTTTATATGGATTCTATATATTAATGTACTTTTTTATATGTATGTATGCATGTATGTATGACTTTTATATACAGTTTTATATCTAGTACTATTATATTGTAGTTATACGAAATTCTACTTTTTTACATTCATTATACTAGCTGTCACGAGTGCTAAATTGCACAAGTGACAATTGCGCCATAACTGAGAAATAACGAAGACGAGAAATAAGAATAATATAAATTAATAATATAAATGAATCGCGAACGCAACTCGATTGCGCGATCACGCCCTCGACCGATTACCGGAACGCGCGGCGAAATAAGTTTAATAATAAGTTTAATATAATATTAAAACCGCGAGCGCGACGCGATTACGCGATCACGCCCTCGACCGATTAGCGGAACGCTGACGAGAAGCGCCGAATATGAAGGTCAGAGACCTCAATAATTCAAATAAATATGAGAAGACCGATGCAGAGTGGAGTCAGTAATTTTATCAAAGTGTAGCGCGTCACTCTGCTCGAATACGATCTTAAAGTTATATCGCGACACGCGTAGTGTAAGTGATTTATGTGAAATAAATACTTGTGAATAATTGTGATTATTTAATAAAGTTTATTTGAAGTTAAAAATAATATAAAAGGAAAGTGATTGATAATTTATTTGCTGCTCCCGAATCCTTGGTGGATCCCGAATCCTGTGCCGACACTGGCGGCACAACAATTTGGTGGCAGCGGTGGGATCCACACAGCTGACTCCAGGACCCGAGAGCAGCGATGGCAGCAATCAGCCTGCAAATAAGGTGTACCAAATAAATAGGCGAAGGAGCGACCCAAGGAGGCAACGCAGAAACCAGCACACCATAAACAAAAGCAAGCACCCGGTATAGCAGCCGACACCAGGACGCAGATAGCAGCGTAACCCGAGAGGCGACCTACCGCAAGCGTGACTCAGCAGCTTCGAGCAACGAGCAACCGACTACAAAGCGACATGCGATTAGCAGCGTTAATGTAAGTCCGAAAAATTATATTAAATTGCCAATGTAATCGAACTAATGTTCGAAGGCGAAAATAATAGCGATAGTCCTAAATATAATGAAAGATAATAATAATTGACTCGTATGATTTAAAAATCGAGGAAAGTGTAAAGCCTAATCGAGTCTTGAAAACAAGATGTCAATGTTTATAAAATTGTGTGAAATTTATATACTGCGTATGTAGTCCCCCCGCGACGCTGATGGATTTTCAGCATTGACGCATACATATTCACTACCGCAGTAATATCACTTTAGTTAAATTGAGAATCAATTTAACCACTTTTTGATGCCTATAGCATCTTATTAGATCTTAATAATATGTTGGAAGACATATATTAAAATTTAATAATAAAT